TTATTACAAATTAAAATCAGGCTCATCTTTCTTAGTGTCAAACACCAGGCTCTCTGTCGGTGGGAGAATGGCTCTCCAAGAGACTTACACTGGAATCATTTCATAAAATTTAAACCGTTCATTTGTTAAAAGTTAAATTACATATTTTTCTCATCCACTACAATCAATACATGCACAGTTTTACACATGTTTAAAAATTTTTTTTCATCTTCTAAAGTCCAAGAATGTATTTTTTAAAAATCCCCCGTAAAGATAAGATTGCAGCTTCGGAGCTTTCTTGCTTTTTCAAACAACAGTATATTTTACTTCGGTCACTCTCCTGCCCACAGACAGATGGGACGGGCTCATAGAAAAAGTGCTCATTACCTGGATCTGTGTGAATGCAGCCTCTGCCATGAAAGGATTTAGTTGTAAGAGGTAGATTTTTCTTAAAAAAAGGAGAGAGCTAAGAACAAAAACATGATGATGACACTGGATCATGATGATGTGATAGAGATAGAAAGTGGAACCTTAAATATATCGCCTGAAATGCCTTCTATTCTACAGGAAGTACGCAAACTATGATTCATCTTTGTGCTGATGTGACTCGAGCCAAATGATTTTTACTGATCTATAGCGTATATTTCTTTTCAAAATCACAGATGTACAGAGACATATAAAACACAGCTATCAGCAAAGAAAGCCTCTTAGATGCACATGTTATCATATGGATTCTATTAATATGTCCCAGTTTACAAGGATTCAGTTGGTCCCTTCCCCCAAGAATGACTTCACCTTCGCCCGACTCCAAGTTTTGTGCAAGACACGTTTATGAATAAAACAACATTCTGCGGCTTTTTCTTTCTTTTTTGCCTCTCTCCCACCGTCTTTCTCACATGTGCTCACACACCCACACAGAGCAGTAGCCAAGGATCCCAGGTGCAGGAGGGATGTGAAAGGCTTTGTGTTTTGTCAACAGCACAGCAGCACCTCACATGACAATCCAGCGGACTCGCACACAGGGAAAGACGGGGCAAAGAAAGTGGAAGATGAGAAGAGGAAAAAAGCATGAGGTGGAATAAGATGAGGAGTTTTTGTGTGAGAGAGAGAGAGCAGAGAAAAACGAGCAGAAAAAGTCTTGCAGAGGGACAGAAACGGAGAAAGTTTAATTCAGTCATGAAATACATTAAGGACAGAAGCAGAAAAGAGCTCAGAAATAAGATATGGAACCAAAGAGAAAGGGGGAGGAAGAGGTCGGCAAGAAATGAAACACAAAGTGAATGAGCATTAGGGAGGAGGATGGAGGGGAGGGGAGGGAGGGAGGCAGAGTGAGAGAAAGGGTGGAAAAGGCCAGTGGCCTCTGCTCTGTCCCCTCTGTGTGCTGCTAAACTGCCCACCAGTTCCCCGCAGCTCTGTCACTTCTCGTTTGTTAATCCCCCATTCTTCTCCCCCTCCTACTCGTCCTCGCTCCCTTTCGCTCAAATCGGTCAATTGTTAATGTGACCCCTTTAAACCCCACCGTCCCTCTCTTGCTGTATTGTCAACACATTATCTGTGTGTACAAGAGGGACATTTAGAAAGGGAAGTGCTAGATGACAAATGTCTATAATTGTTTGGACGGATTTGCCAAGTTATTTTTTATGAATAAGCCCGGCACACTATGAACCTGTCGCAATGGATTCTTGCTTTTTTCTTGTTGTTTTGATGAAGAAAGACTGCTTCAGAACAGACACACTGTCTCATTTTAATACTCTACACACTTTCTTTTCCAAAATTATTTTTTATGAATTAGCCCAGCATCTTATGAACCTGCCACAGTGGATTCTTGTGTTTTGTTGTTGTTTTGTTTTGATGAGGAAAGACCGCTTTGGAACAGACGTACCGTCTCATTTTAATACTCCACACAACAAGAACGGTAAACAAAATGGGACTTTGTGCTGCTGCTGACAAGCTTTGGGCTGTAAAAGAAATCAGCTCGTATCAGAGTGCTTTTTAATTGTCAGTTCAAACCTTAATCTTGTCACATGAATGAGCGCAGCCGCATCATCGATTCAAAGCATTCGCTCCTGGATTGTTGCACAAAGGAGAAAAAATCAAAGCGCTACATCAGAATATAATCGGCAACTTAGAGCAGTTTGTCTTTCTAATAGCATTACTTGTAACTTTTCTTTCTTTGATCTTTAGTCACTGTAGTTAGTGCCACTTAAAGGAGAGCTTCACACTGACAGAGGACTGAGACGAGCACAACACAACGTGGCAGCAAAGCACCTAAAATATAAGTGAAAGTCCCAATTATTGTCTCATACATTAAGTAATGTGTTTGTATGAATGTTTCAGTCCATTAAAGATTCTAATCTTGCTATAAGCCTTAATTTCAATATATATAGCTATATCTAGATGGTCAGCGTCTTCATTTATGGTGCAGTACTTTTGATTGGTTCTCAGATTTGTATGTAAAATTGAGCCACATTGCTCTAGTGGTACTACCGAAACAAGGCATATGTGTGTTAGTTAGCTTTCAAAATGTAATTCAGAACATAGTACTCCGTCCTGTCAATGATATGTTTTAAATCGGGGACATCATACCAGCACCTTCATTACAAAAGAACATGATTTTTTATAGTGGCTCATCGACCTCAAAGGATAAAAAATGTCTTTAAAGCTGAAGCCTGAGAATTTCCAATAATAAAGGCAACAGTAAAGCAATTTAAAACAAAGTGGCCTCACGAGAAATGTGTCATGTTTGGATTTGGATCAGTCTGTGGAGCAGGTTGTCTACATATCACGAGTCCGGCCGTTCAATCCCCCAATCTGTCTGTGTGCTGAAGTGTCCTTGAGCTAGACACCGAACCCCAAGTTGCCCCCAGTGAGGGGGCTTGTACGGCAGCTCTGCCTCCATTGATGTGGTTGGTGAATGAGAAACACTTTGTAGAACCCCAGCAGAGGTTAAAAGGTGCTGTGTAAGTGTCCACCATTCACCACTAGGTGCACAGGTTAGACACAGTTATGTCGAGCCCACTTGTATGATGAAACAAATGTTTTAATGTAAAATAATCAAGATACGCTATCACAACATCTGTCAGATTTTGGCTTTTATGCTTCTCACGTCTTTCCTCATGTATTTCGTTGCACATGGAGCCCATTCAGCTTCACGAGAGAAACCAAAGATCCATTAGAAGTGGACGGTAGCTGCAGTGTCAATCTTAAATGGTGAGGACAGCTAAAGATTGAAATGAAAGAAAAGCTTAAAAAGGAAACCTGAACTTGAGCTTGAGCGGCTGAAAGAGGAGAGCGGAGTGGGTATCTGCTAGCAGTTTATTTCAGAGAGGGAAAAACTCGTGCTTGTTTTGGACCATCTCTGCTTGCAGCTGTTAAGCATCTGGTCTCAATGATCATGCTGGAATGAATGAAAATCTTAAAAGCCGTGAAGGAAAGACACTTCCGCGATCCTTTTTTTCCCTCAAGTGACAAACAGGTGCCCTTTTGAAATGGGATAACTAGGAAATACAACGGCTTCGTTCTAGTTCTTAGGAGCTGTATCGGTTGTAAGAATAAAGAATGTGCCGTGAGAAAACACGTTTCATAGTGTCAGGTGTTTGGGTTTAGAGTTTTTGTCTTCTTTTTTTCTATATTTCACATGTTTTTTCATATTTTCAGTGGATTCAGTGTTTGTTTGACTACAGTAAGTTAGATTATATTTCAGTTCAGTCAGCCAGCTCATGTGGAATAAATTTATGTTGTGACTACAGAGTGTGCCGAGTTGATATTTGTCATCTTGGCTCTGACTTCATCACTCACTGCAAAGCTACAACAGCAGGGCAGATATTAAACTTGTCCCCCAGGGGAAGTTACAAGCTTACAGGTGGATACGGGGCTGGCGAACAGAGCAGCAGAGTCATACAACTGCACCGACTACAACATTAAACTGCACATACCAAAGAACACAATTCATTGAAAATGCAAAAGAGATCTGAGAGCAGACCACAGACTGTATAAAAGATGGACGTAGCAACCGGCCCTGAAAAATGAAGCCAACCCGGAAGTGTCAAAAGCCTACGTCCACTAGCTGCTGGCTCCAAAAAGCCCTGGCTCCCATAGACTTGAATTGGAAAACAATTGATCACAGATCACGAAATATTGCATTCCTACAGCTTAGGATTTTTTTCTTATTAGTTTTCATAGTCAAGTCCAGAAATCAGGTGGTCAATCTGAAAATAAATCAATACTGAATTTTTAAAAAATCGTCAAGGGGCGTGGCTGGCTTGATTGACAGTCTGCAGACGAAGCAAGCAGAAGGCGGTAAATGTGGGCGGGGCAGAGAGGACCCGCCTCTCAATCCGTCTGACCAATCGCTGCTCCTATGGCTCCGCCCCCCTGATTTTTGCGTCACTGGCTCCAAAAATCCAAGATGTCAACCAGGAAGTAGCAAAACCCTGGCTTCATTTTCTCAGTGCAGAAACCAACGGGTGACGTCACGGTAGCTACGTCCATCTTTTATACAGTCTATGGAGCAGACACTGAGAAACAACAACAAAGTTATTACACTGATTCACGATAAACACAATTTTGTAGTTTGTGTGTTTGCAGTAGTTGCAGAACATCAGAGCAAAGACAGTCAACAGGGTTAAAGAACTGATGGACTAATACTCTTAATACTCACAGCAACTTAAATGTGTCCTGAATTAGCTGAGAGGTGTTTTAAAAGTATGCTAAAGCATGTTAATATCAATCATAACAGAATATTAAATACAACAGATTCCTTCTTTGTCAAACATATTCTAACACTCAGTAATTTTCACAGATGGAAAAAAACCCCGAAGTCTGTCTCTGTGCTGTATATTGCTGATATGTTCTGTTCTAAAACACCTTTTGGTAGCACGAATTCATAGACTTTATAACACTAATAGTGCAGCCATCGTTAGCTCTGCTGCGCTCCTTCCTCTGAAACCTCTATATGCAGTGTATTGATGTGATTTTAGCATTTTGTTTCAACTCCTTTTCTTCTTCTTTCTGTTTCACAGGCAACATTTTGGACAGTATGCTGCTACAAGCATCAAGTAAGGAGGCAGCGGAGAGTGGGAAGGAGACTTTTGGCAGCACAGCTCCTGCTTCATCCTCCCAAAGACTCCTGTGGTGTCACTGCTATCACCACTGCCCAGAAGATTCAACCAACAACACATGCAGGTGAAGTGCTATGAATGAGAGCAGCAATGTAACAAACAGGCCGAAATACTGTTGGTTTGGTATGTTTTATAAAATTATTGGTTGCTTTACTTATTGTAAGTACATCTGCTTCTCCAGGACGGACGGCTACTGCTTCACGATGGTGAAGGAGGAGGATGGAGTACCGGTCCAGACTGCGGGTTGCATGGGGCTGGTCGGGTCAGAGTTTCAGTGCAGGGTGAGTTGATCGAGACACACACACAGTACAATGTCTTCCTTTTTTTTGCAGTTATTTTCTCTTCTAGCACATATCTTTCCCAAATTAGATTATTTTAGGAAATAGGAATTACAAGAGGGTAAGTGAATAAAGCAGGAATTTCAATCCTGGATGTACACACTGATGTGTACACTGTTTGTGAGCACTTTTATACGAGATATCATGACTTTTTTTGATTCCCTGTGAATTCTTTAGTCTATAAAATATCAGTTATGTCAATTATAGATTAATTGTGAAGATACTTCCATGACAAACTAAGGCAACATCTTCAAATCCCTTTTTTTTTTTTGTTAACCATCTAAAAAAACAAAAGAATCACACCTGTATTTGATTTCCTGTCTTCCAGGATACGGGGAAGTCACGTCAAAGGAGATCGCTGGAGTGCTGTACAGATGAAGATTACTGCAACAGAAACCTGCATCCAACGCTGCCGCCGCTCAAGCCGCCTCGTGAGTCTGTCCGTCCGCACACGAAGCTTTCTTGCCCGTGAAACATTAGCAAGATTTTTCAACCAGCCACTTGTTCCCCCGCTAGAAGTCGACAGCGTGGCAGTGATAAAGACAGGACCGAGAACTGTGACTGATGGTGTTACAGCACGCAGGCTTCAGAGATACAGATATCACGACACTGTCAGAGAGTCAAAGACGGCCCAAGTGTTATAGACAGCGTCAGGGAGTTACTGTCAAACTGTCCTGGAGCTCGCCAAAGCCACTGAGTGTCAAGAGAACACCGAGGTCTCTGCTGTGTACAACACTATACTCTGGGTGTGTGTGTGTGAGGGTCTTTTTGTGTATTTGAGAGTCCGTAAGCCTAGATTCCCAGGGAAATCACCAGCCCCAGCAGACACTGAGGGCAGAGTCATCAATCTGAAACCCTATCATGGGGGATCAGGAGGAGAATTCATCGACTAGGCTGAGGGCTTCCTCTCTCTGTTGACGGGGGCCTTGAGGGAACAAAAGTGTGTGCCAGAAGAAAATGAAAAATTGATGAGTGAAATATGATTTGTGTATGATTGACTGAACGCCGCTTCTTCCAAGTGACTCGTACAGATGACTGAATTTGTTGGTATAATTTTCTCAGTTTCTTAACTTTTTTTTATTTTTCTATTGGGGATATTGCAAATCTAGATTTTATTAAATTTTTTTTGTTCCAGCTGAAATGCGTTAGATGCTCGGTGATAATTTCATTTATTCTTTTGTCGTGTCTCTTTTGTCGTCCTCTCTCTAGTCTATGTCGATGGGAAGATCCACCACATGGCCTTGTTGATTTCAGTCGCTGTTTGCAGCATCATACTGCTTGTCATCATTGTGTTCTGCTACTTCAGGTAATGACACATATAGCAGTCAGACTTAAAGGTTTTCTGCAGCCCTCTTTAGGGATTCAATATCACACATTCTGTATGCTATAGGGCACATTCTTGCCAGAATATTATTTTTGTAAGAATGTGTGCTGCATACTTCTGTTTCACAGGTACAAGCGACAAGAGTCTCGTCCTCGCTACAGCATCGGTCTAGAGCAGGATGAGATGTACATTCCCCCTGGAGAGTCTCTGAAGGACCTGATAGAGCAATCGCAGAGCTCTGGCTCAGGCTCAGGACTCCCTCTATTGGTGAGACACCCACACTGCCTCTAAACACCTGTTGCGTCAAAAGGATTCTCCATGGATGCGCTACATGCAAATACTGGGGCTAATGGGGGATGCTTTATTGGATTTAGTTACATGCGGTGAATTCCAAACCTACAAGATTTTTGTAATATTTATTCTTTGGCATCTCCTGGTTGCTCCTGTATCCATTTGAGGGTCAATGAACCTCTCATGAGTTTTTCATTTTTAACGCATGAGAAAAATTCTGAATGAATTTGTACACATCAGCATCCAAGGACCTCCTTAAACCGTTTCTCCTCTTTAGGTCCAGAGAACGATAGCCAAGCAGATTCAGATGGTGAAGCAGATCGGCAAGGGCAGGTATGGAGAGGTGTGGATGGGCAGGTGGAGAGGAGAGAAGGTGGCTGTGAAAGTTTTCTTCACCACTGAGGAGGCCAGTTGGTTCAGAGAGACGGAAATCTACCAGACTATCCTAATGAGACATGAGAACATACTGGGTAAGTCTTCTTCCTCTCTTCCTTCTGTATTTGTGTGACGCTGATCCTTCTCTGTGTAGCTCTCTGTCTCTTTATTTGTTGCACTTTCTTTTCTTTAAAATATTACAATGAGCAAAGTGGAATTTAAAGGGGCAGATGCTAAATTCTTACAACATGGTGGTGGTAGTTCTTAACAATCTTGAAATATAAACTAAAGGACAGTTTAATTAGGTTTGGATGAGTACATACTGTAGATGAACTAGTTTATTGAAAACAAACGATGCTAATGACAGATCAATTATACAGTAGATCTGTGCTTTGTAGCACAATGTAATAAAAAGCAAATGATAATGAATTAAAACCCACCATAGTTGGAGTTGGAGTGGGCCCATTATGCTGCACCACACTGCGCTCAGTGCCAAAACAGATCAATTATAGCCAAGAGACTGTAAACCATAACAAATTCTAAAGTAGACAACACCAGACTGCAAACCAAAGCTTGCATAATTGAACACCACAAGATCCATTGTAATGAAGTAGCGGAGCAAAAGATCACTTACTAGTAAACCGGAAGATAGAATAAATGCTGCAGTGCGTAGCTCAGCCTTCCACGGTCGACACTACAGACCACGTAGTCTTCATCATATCCACCAAAACAGATGCTAAGATTATAGTGTTAACTGGGCTGAGTCAGTGCTAATGCAGTCTATACTTACAGTTATTGGGCAAAAACTATGTTCACACATATGTGAGATGATATTTAGATTCAAAGATTGTGTCAGAAGTGTGGATGCAGGACTGTTTGAGTGAAAGTGTCATCTGCCTTTTCCTAATTTATAATGATCTTATTTCATGTTTTACACGTTTGGCTTGCTTGATGGTTGTTGTTCTTGGGTAAAAAGATCTTAAGGTTCTGTTTCACAAACTCATCTTTCTATGTTTTCAGCCTGTCATACTTCTGTGTGACAAAACTATCGTCCCGGACTGATCCGTAAACAAATTCAATTTGTAGGATATTTTTTGCACTGAAAAAATAAAGGCAAAAAAATTAATTACCTATATTTTTGTTTTTGCATGATTTAGGCTTGTTAATGAAAATTAATTTCTGCCAGCGACGGGAATGAAATCACTCCAGAAATGTATAATGACCCCCTTTTAGCGCAGCCTTCCACACAGTGCTCCAAACAGGGTCCCTGAAGAAAAACATGTATTCATCTGAAAGTGCTCTCTGCTTCTATGACTGAGCCTAATTGATGCATTGATACATTTAAAAGCACACAAGTGGAACAGTGAAGTTCACAGTGAAGACAACATTACGTCTGTGTCATTTCTACTGTAATTACTGGAGATAAAGCCACAGTGGAATGTGCGTACAGTTGAACTGTCCCAATTTTTCACGGTCAAATTCAGTCAGTGATGTGGCTTTAACGTAACTCGCTGCCTGTTAATGTCTTCCTCTCTTCACCCTCCATCCTCCCTCTGCCCACTCCATTCACAGGTTTTATAGCTGCAGATATTAAAGGAACTGGCTCCTGGACTCAACTCTACCTAATCACCGACTACCATGAAAATGGATCTTTGTATGACTACCTCAAATCAACCACTCTAGACAATAAAGCGATGCTGCGACTGGCCTACTCCTCTGTGTCGGGACTCTGTCACCTCCACACAGAGATCTTCGGCACCCAGGGCAAACCTGCCATCGCTCACCGGGATCTGAAGAGTAAGAACCTGCTGGTGAAAAGAAATGGGACCTGCTGTATAGCTGACCTCGGACTGGCGGTTAAATTTATCAGGTGAGTATAGATATTCCCAATTACTTCTATGTTTTTGCTGTGTTAAGCCACGGTAGGCAGTCAGAACAGCTCATAAATGAAAGTATTCTGAGCTCACATTATTTCAGTTATGAGCATAGCTAAGTAATCATTAATTTAAAGTCATTACTTTGATCTCTGGCTCTGCAGTGACACAAATGAGGTAGACATCCCTCCCAACACTAGAGTTGGCACAAAGCGCTACATGCCTCCGGAGGTTCTGGACGAGACTCTGAACAGAAGTCATTTTCAGTCGTACATCATGGCCGACATGTACAGCTTTGGGCTCATTCTCTGGGAGATTGCTCGACGTTGTGTCTCAGGAGGTAAATATAGTAATTAGACTTTAATGTCTTCGGGTTTTTGGACACAAACACTCTCCGAAAGCCTGAACTGAGCATGTTCTTCTGTAACCTGTAGGGATCCTGGAGGAGTACCAGCTACCGTACCACGAGTTAGTTCCTACGGACCCTTCATATGAAGACATGAGAGAGGTGGTCTGCATCAAGAAACTACGACCGTCCTTTCCTAATAGATGGACCAGTGATGAGGTAAGTATGTCCACACTATGCATGCACAAACACACAAATGAATGATCCCTCTAACTTAAATCTGTGTCTCCTCCTCAGTGTTTGAGACAGATGGGGAAGCTGATGACAGAATGCTGGGCCCACAACCCAGCCTGCCGCCTCACAGCGCTACGGGTCAAAAAGACACTTGCCAAAATGTCAGAATCACAGGACATCAAGCTGTGAGCGGGCACTGCCAGGTGTGTGTGTGTTTACGCACATAGAAAGGGCACTAACAATCACACTGGCTCTGGTCCACGTCGCACAAGCCTTCTCCCTGGGGGGAAAAAAAAGAGGAGGGACAGGAAGCAAGAAGATCACTTAGAAGATCACAAACTTTTGAGTCCAAACGCCCAGAACTCTGCAACGCAAGTCCCCTTAAAAAAAAAAACAATCAGGTCTTATGTGGCCCTGTTCTGTCCATCAAAGACGATGAGACGATTTCATTTCAGACTAGTGCGAGGACTCTAAATCCACGTATAGGCTCCTGTTCACATGCTCCAAAGGTCTTGGAGAAAGAGACTGAGTTTGACTTGGCACTGTAGCTGCAGAGACACGCAAACAGGCTACTGACCAGTGAGTGGAATGTGATATCACTGCTTTCTGTGAAAGCTACCCTACCTGTAAGATGAAGGTCTGACTGATAGAACTGAAGGGACGTGTTTCAAAGCAATCTGTCATTGCAGCATTAGCACCTCCTTTCTTAACACTATCACCCCCACTACTGGCTTTATGTGATAATTGGATTGAACACATTTTGGTTTTTTTTGTCAATCAACTGCTTTTAATTACAAGAACTGACCCTATGTGACAGAGAGGGGGAAAAAAAAAAGAAAGTATTGTGAGGCTTTAAAATTTTTGGTTTCTGCGGATAACATTGTAAACACTGAAGAAAAGGTAAACGTTGTGTTTTTGTGATGGGCTAACGAAAGTTGCAAAAAGTGCATTTTCAATGTAAAACTCCAACTCGCGAAGACGATATGTGATAAAATAAAATTTCTATGTCCAAATAAATTCTGGATTGAGGCTCTGAAGGCCTCCGTGTCTCCTTGCCCTCTGATGGAAAACCTGCCTGAAACGAGGAGGAGGCGGCGTTGCATTAAAGGATTGATTGGAGCAGAACAGTGCCACCCGTAGGTGCTCTCCGGTAACTACAGGAAGGAAAGACTCCCAAGTGCGTTTCCAAACTGCTTTACACTAACTGTAGTGGTGACTTCTTGTTTGGTGATGTAGTGATCTATTATAAATGTGTGGAATTTTGTTAGTTTAGGGGTACCACGAGTTGTTTGTCATGAGGGATTGCTACCATTCAGTCAGTAAAGTGGCTCCCAATACCAGGCTGATGATGGAAATGGTGTATTTTAAGCAGCGGGACCAGAAGCACTCACTTATAGTAAAAAAAAAATCAGCTGGCCCAAGAAAACACCCCCCATACTCTTCTACCACACGAATTAAACTGATTCACTATAATTAACCATTTGCAGCTGTCACAATGAAACCAAATGAGTCAATTCAAAATTCCATCATCCCGTTTCTGTGAGTGAAGTTCCTCCATTGATTCTGGCATAAAAGCAGTCCACTTTTGGAAAACCTAAGCAGCCTCAGTATGAAGTGGTTCTCCAGGTAAATCCAGCCACCTTTCATCATCTGGCTGTTCGGTCCTTACAGTGGTCGGCTGTCACCGCAGTGCCAGTTCAGATTTTCCCCTCAAATGGCACTAACTGACTCATTTTTTATTTTTTATTTTTTTAGCTTTCATAGTCCATTAGTAAAATCTTTGCTAAACTTTCCTTCAGAGGTCAGCGAGTTTCATTTTTTGGTCTGTGTCAACTAAAAATAATGGGGCGCTTGTCACAGTTGGAGGTTTTCGGTGTGACAGATTTGTTGTGATATAAAATGCCCTTTGTTTCCTCTTTGGGTGTTGTGCCTTATTTAATCTGTACCTGCTGTAGTTGTCTGTGAGAGAAAGTGGTGTTTTTATTCAGTAAAAAGGTTGAACATTCCCCCAATAAAGTGTTTCACTCATCCACATGGCTGATGCACAGTTTGTGGTGGCTGAACGAGGTGCATACTAACGAGTCACTTGGCAGTGCCTCTTACTGTTAAGGCATGCTCTCCATATTTTCTTTGTTACAAAAAAAAAAAGCGGCATGCCTCATTACAACCCACTGGTGCTGCTGAGCACACAGCATGTTAAACAGTGACACCATAAGGGTTTTCACTTTCACTTTTCTCCCCTTCAGGCTACTTTAAACAAATACTTATTCAGCCTGGAACATGGAAATAGGAATTTCACAGAAAAAACATATAAAACAAGAAAAGAAAAGCAAATATATATATATTCATGGTCTACAAATTGCATTTCTGACCCCCGCTTTACTATTACAGTACACATAGTGATACATAGCACATGTGAGGAATGTCTGTTGTGTTCAAGAAAGCCACCAAAGGCACGGTTTCAGCATTGCTTATAAATATAATTTATTAATTGTCTTAAAAATTCTTTCTTACACTTTGTACAGAAAACAATTAGAGGAGATAGAGAGGCAAGCATTCAGCAAGATTGAGCAAGACTCATGAAGCGTGCCAGAATTAGCTAAAATGGACCAACACTATCCCACACTAATCAAATCAAACCACTCCTGATAGTAAAATAATCAAAATGCACTTACAAGGACAGCTCTAGTTATAGACTTCTATCATGATAACCAATGCCAAGTTTGCATAGTAGACACTGCTTTTACAAAAAAGGAAAAAAAAAACTTAAATACAAAAAAAACAAAAAAAAAACTTGAAACATACAAACTATTATCTAACTGTACTGCTCTTTTTTTTTTTTTTTAATATTCTAAATTTGCCAAACAGTAGCCAACAGTACACAACTGTACATACTAAGGAAAAAAAAAACTTAAATACAAAAAAAACAAAAAAAAAACTTGAAACATACAAACTATTATCTAACTGTACTGCTCTTTTTTTTTTTTTTAATATTCTGAAATTTGCCAAACAGTAGCCAACAGTACACAACTGTACATACTGTAGATAAAAAATATTTTTACATACTTTGATATCTTAACACTACTTTCTTCATTTTTCACATCATGAAGGATCATCTTCTGGAGGCCGACATGTGCTCACCTCATATGAAAACTCCCTTTTTGCTCCATCGACAGAACGTCTTATCCTGCTGGTAAACTGTAGACTTAAGTGTAAATTTTGGGTAAACTTACATTTTTACCAGTTGTTTTTTTTAAACCTACATTTCTTAACTGATTCGTTTCATCAGTTAAAAATGAGATCTCGTATATCCGTGAGTTGCCAGTGATGTTGATGATCGAATTGCGTGAACGAGACATTGCCATGACCTTCGTGTTTTGTTCTGAAACAAACTCAAATGATGACTTGATGTTTTAGGCTTTTATCCTCGTAAAAATTTCCACCACTCTTCCCTTTGACTTCCTTATTTCTGACATCAGCAGTTACATTTGGAAAAAAAAAAAAAACATACAAAAACATCCACTCTGTCATTAAACCATACATCTTTTCTAGCCCGGGCTGTCCAAAAATGAAAACATACATACTTTGAGGCCTCCGTGTCCGTTTCATCGAAATATTTTCCTGATACAAGAGGTCTGAATCTTAAAGTCGCACGTTTCTGAACAAAGAAAGAAAAATCAATGTGAAAAAAAAATCAATGTCTCAAGATTTCCTCCTGCGTTGGACAGCCACAAGATGAAATCCGTCACGACCAGGTAAAGATCTGACCTTTTGTACCAGCGTTAAACCCAACCTCTGCCTACTTTTTTTTATTTTCAAATATCCTCCTCAGAATCTCCTCTACATACCTGATAATCAAGTTTCATATGGCGTCTCTCCGTAACTCAGAACAGAAATGTCTAAACTCCAATTTTTGATTAGTTTACAAGCGTTTCCCTCCGACTGAAAGTTCGTGTCGTCCTTTGCAGAGTTAATATCTCCGGGGAGATCTGACAAAATATTCGAAAGCCACCGAAAATAAGGCTGCAAATTGGAGCGATGCCTTTTCATCAGACACTGCTGACCCGAGTCGATGCATACATTTGAAAGCCAGCCTTGGTTCACAATGCTGTTCTGGAAAACACAAATATATTACACATCATTGTACACAGACCCCCTTTAGTTACGTTGACTTTTAGTTCTAATTTGCAACTTTTTTTCTCAATAAATACACTGTGAGTTGGAATGTTAGTTGCTGACAGAAAGTTGTTTGAGGAAAAAGGGCAAGTAGCTGATATGTTACAGATCCCCCCGCCCTCCCCTCCCCCCAATACAGTTCACACCTATAAACATAGTAAAATGTCAAAAAATAATAATAATAATGTTAATGTAAATAATAATGATCATTGAACAAAACAAAAAAATTATTATGGTAATACAATGTCATTAGGATGAACATGATAATCATGTATTTACACGTTTCAGACGATCAAAGAAATGCAAATGCTGTTATTCTTCAAAGGCCACCGGATGGTGCTAGTGACCAGCAAAGTCACAGCGGCGATCACGAATGAAATCACACGTGGCCCGACGGCAGGGTGATGATGGGACGCTGAAAATATGAGAGGAAAATATATATATGTCGGCTATATATATATATATATATATATTAGTAAATGAAAATATGATTGATAAAATCTGTATATTGGGTACATTTAGCGGTAATGAATGATATCAGCTGCGTTTAACTCACTATCACATGATGCTATGGTACTTTGTATAGTAATGTATTTAAAAATTCATCCCTTTTTGCTTTGTCTTTCTTTTTTTGTTTTCTCTGAGTTAGTCCCTGTCCAGAAACAAGCCCCCGACAATAGCAGAGAGAGACTCCTGGATTTGAGGTTAACCGACATGCTTAGCCGTGACTGGAGCGCTTCACCCTGCATCAACACGCAGCTCGTCTTTGTGAAGGAATACGGCAGCAGCTTTACTACAGATAGTATGTTGACACTTGAGACTTATTTTTTTCTTTTTGCAGAGATGTGTTTACTGTTTGGTCAGAGGAAAATTGAAAGAAAGAAAGAAAAAAACACATTTAGTATACTGTGCTGCAGTATGATGAGCATAAGAATGAATGGATGTTTACCTCATTTATCTAATTATCCTAAGTGCCATCTTAAATACACTTTAAATTAGGGAAAAAAAGTCATTTACTACTAAAAGTGGCAAACAAAAACTTCACCTGCATCAAACAGGAGTGTAATCATCTTTGGATTGGCTTTTTTTTTTCTCATTGACAGTCAGTCGCCTTTGTTGTGACCTGGAGGATTTAATATCTTCATGCATTTTTGGAGGAAAGCCACAAACTCCATATTCATCCTGAAAACAAAATTGATACCAGCCAAGAGAGTAAAACCTGTTGTCTCGGGCTTGTTTCTGGTCAGGACCCTTGATTGACAAGTCACTGTGTAGCAAATTCTGTTATAGCAGGAAATGATCCACACATATGGACAGCAGAATACATAGAGCGTTCCCTAAGAAACGATATAAAGACGACGAACTGTAGTGGCGAACACGTACAGCCGAGGCTCACAAGAGAAGAGTCACTTATTCATCTCCCCTCTCATTATCTGTTTTCCATCCAGATGATCACCTGCCACCGCTTCCATCATTTCGTGTTTACGTCCTCCCTCTCTTTTGTAATCACTTTAGCTCCTCTCTGTGTTTGCGCTCATCTTTCTGCCGAGTCTCTAACTCGCTCTTTCTTTTTCCTCGATCCACCTTCTCCCACTCTACCGTAATCACTTTACCTTCTCTCCCTTTATGATTCTGTTCCGCTCCTATAGAAGGTTTCCAAGGTCACCTCTCCCCCCGTTTCTTTTCTTTCTTCGCTCGCCTTTTGTTCGGTAATAAAGTAACAGCAAAAGAACGACTGGTGTTACAATAGACACGGTCTTTGTTGTGTTTTTTGTTTTTTTTGTGTTGTTTTTTTTAGGCGCATGTATGTTTTGTTTGTTCCTGATAGTTAGGTAGGGTTATCTCCTCCGTCGGTCACGCACGACACTGCAACATCTCGCAAATACGCACACGAAAAGATACATACACAGTCCCCGCACCAGCTCAAGCCCCTCTCCCTTCTATCTGTCGCCATGTCGGCATGATTACCACGGTATTTAACCGCTGCTCAATCACCATGGCGACAACTTTCCTTTCTCTCACATCTAATTTGCTCGTCGCCCTTGCTGCAGCATCAACCGTAGAGAATTCACGTGTAGTCATCTCCAGAGTTCTGTCATTGTCATGGTAACCGCACTGCTTTGTCAGTGTTCCGTTGTCATGGAGGCGAGGTTACTGTCATGGCGACCCATTTCTTCCAGCACGGCGGCCAGTTCGTTTAGGTCTCCGTCTGGGAAGTGCTGGGCCTCCCAGAGATCCAGGATCACGCCCGTCGGACTGGACTTAGTGGCGAAGTAGTTCAGATACCTGGAAGAAAAAAGAAAAAAAATTGAAATATTACGCAAAAGATACACTTTTTCGCATTGACAGTATCAGACAGAAACATTATACTGGACACGCAGGCAACAAATCAAAAGCAAAGCCAGATCGCAAGACATATTATACAACACGCAAACTATTTAAGATTGCATTTCAACTTTTTCAGTTTATTTGGGAAGTTTGATGTGATGTCACTCCGTTTGAAAAACCTCCAGGCAAAGTCTTTTTTTTAATAAAATCTGTTTCGAAGTCAAACTGGAAATGTGCGATATGTAATCGATGTGCCAAAAAAGAAAATAACATTCTGAGAAGGATGAAAATGTACCATTTCCTCCCATAATGCACTGCAAAGGTGACAAATTACTGCTCTCTTCAAGATACTGAATTATAGTCTTTAACTTTGGTTGTGCTGAAAAGTATTGAAAGCACTTGATAGCAGACAATAAAAGCAAAGACAGGCAGAAAAGGAGCTAAGCATAAAGAAACATCCTTGACGAAAGACCTCAACACCACGAATGTAACGTGTGAGGACATTCAGCCTAAAAGAAGAGAGAACTCGCCATTCTGAGTGTTCAGTTTAAATCTTATTAAACAAACAAGAAAAATATTGTTGCATGTGAGCAGGACAACGTGGCAGCAACTTAACAGTGCTGGTAAGTCGTCCAGCCTCCGAGAGTCAAGTACACAATGGCTGCAGAGGGAAAGTCTGACACTGAGCCATCCGCGACAAAGATCTCACTGTTGCTTTGAAGTCCAAAACCCATCAGATTTGAGTCCCATGGGGGGTAAAAACTGAGACTTTCTGTTCCTCCGTAAATCCTGTGATTGTACCGTTGGCACACTCTGATACTGTTTAAATACAACCACAGCCATGCATATCTCCTCTCCGCTCCTATCTGTCAGTTTCTCCTCCCACAGATTTTTTTTTCTTCTCACATTTTCTCCCATTCAAAACATCTAATAGAAGTATTTTCATTACATTCATTCTCACTTTGTTTCATTCTGTCTCGCTCTCTGTGTCAGACTCCATCTGTCTGCAGCGCGCGATAAGAAGCATCCTGCTGTTAAGTGAACTCAGCAGCTGAGATTGACCTTTTATATGTGTGTGTCTGTGTGTGTGTGTGTGTGTGTGTGTGTGCTGTTCCACCATTTCCTTCAGAGCCGCGTCGGTACAATGCACCAAAAAGTTCACAATAACAGCTCCGGTTTCATTGTTTGTATATACATGAGACAGTTGTGTGAGTGAAAGACGGCTGGGACAGCGAAGCATGACTCACACTTTGAAGTCAAACAGATGTGATGTGGAAGCTACGAGAGCAGAAGGATAAAAGGTGGTGTTTCCTTGTTAGGGCATTTTTTATCATGGTCCATTTTTTCGAAGAGTACCTTTTAGCAGAAATGTGGAAGTAAACAACAATTTGGCTAGCTGTTCACCCACTGATCAGGAATATTCGGTGCCCACATCAACAGACTGCTTCATGAGCTGGCTGCCTGGTGGGACAATGATGCGCACTTGTGCCCAATTATCCTCTCAATATCTGGCTCTGCTTCGGTAGCTGCTGGTAAATGAACCTCCAGACTGAATCACTGAGACACACACATCTGCGGATGGAGATACTAAGGATGTTACCTGTGAGTCAAACGGAAAGCAGCGCTTGATTTACTCCACAGGGAGTCTAAAATGTATTAAAAACGAGTAACCAGATTCTTTTTTTTTTTTGTACATGTGTATGTCACCATAACAAAAGACGATCACATGCACTTAATGCGATTGAACTGTCAATTATGCCTCTGAGGGATTTCTTTTCTTTAATCTTTGTAACCTAACTAGAACTTAAGAGGACATATAAAACTGCACTTCAATTGAGCTGCACCATCTGATTTTGTTCTGTTTTGATTATTATCCTTCCAGGAATTCTATTTCTGTATTTGACAACCATAAGACATAATTATTACAATGACAGACAGACATTTAACAGCAAATTGCTCCCCAACGACATCACGAGAACCAACAAAATTTGTCCCACACCTCATATCGCCTGTTTTTGTGCACCAGACCTTTTCTGTGAGTGATCTCTGGGCAGCAGCCTGTACCTTCGTCCTGAAGGCACCGGCTTGTATTCCCCAGAGTGACCACTGAAGCTTACCTGCTCTTTCCTCACCACTCAGAACTCACGAAAGCAGCGTCACACTGCGTTGTCCTTGACCCACAATCTCGCTAGACGTACTAACAACCCCATTGAGTTTGTTCTTATTAAGTACAGATAGTGAAAAACACCAAGAAATGAATGTTCTCCACAAGTGAACGGTGAAAGAAACCCAGCGTGAGTCTATTCAATCTCGAGTGTCGAAGCTTCCGTGCGACGTGTAATCATTATATCGCCCCGCTGTAGACGACACGTACGTCTAAATTCTATAACAAATTCACATTAATTACTGCCCCCAGACGTTTACATTCATCTCCAGCTTCAGTACAGTCACCATTAATAGCCACTTGTTGGCGTTTCTTCCTGCCTGCTCTGAAATCAAAGATCATTTCCTCGTCTTAATCAAGCAGGACTTGAATCACGTCTTGAGTCACAGGCACTGAGTCACTTCTTCTTTTTTCTGCTGTGAGGTGAGGCAGGTCCTATCCTGTTTGACGATTTAGACCAGGCACATGAAATAACTTTGGTTGTCACCTGTCAAGGTTGAGTTTGTGGGCCAGCATCCTCCAGTCGTTGCCTCTGGTCTGCGGTGCATCCAGGCTGCCACACAACTTCTGTCGGATGGATAAAGGAATGCGGAAGGCATTGGGCCCAACTAGGGTTGTGATATTGCTGGCGGGGTCCATCAGGGACGTGTCTATGCTCTGGACCTCCTGGAGAGACGGGGAAAGGCTGGTCAGTTGGATAAAGCAGGTATGTTAACTTTTTTAAAAATTTAATTCATTAAAAAAGGTTTCTGCATATATAGATATATATATATATGGGGTCGCCCTATATATTGTATATTTTAAATCCCCCAAAAAAGGTCAAATGTGAATCATAACATGCATACATGTGGCAACAATTGGAGACTTAAATCCATCATGTTTCTATTTCAAACATCCTCTTGGCAAAGATTCTGCACGTCTGTCTCTCTGCTGTTTGCCTTCGGTGTGACCAATTACACATGAGCCTCCTAATTAATACAAGAGTGAAACAAACACAAAAATCTGCTCCCGAGCACTCGCTCGCTCTCTCCTCTCGCTGTCGATCTTGCATCTTTGTAAACCTTCATCCCATTAATCTGCCACTCCTGGGTTGAAAGGAGGCAGCAGTCTAACGAATGTGGCTTGGCAGAAGGAAACAACAACTGCCACTGTTGATGTGAATGATTACTATTTACTGCATCTACTTAGCCCCAATTTATAGCAGAAAGCTCTCTGCCGTTGAAGACGGAGTGACTGATGCGAAGGGACATCTCCGTCTCTCTCTTGAAATAATAAATGCTTTAAAGCTGCTTTACATTCCCTTGTTCAACACGCACGACGCTGGTTGACAGTCGACAACGTTTTAGTTTAAACACGACGCGCAGAAAGAGAATCACACAGTTGTACTTTAGATATCAGCGCTGTGAAAAAGTATTAAATCCCCTCAGGAGTTTGTCTATTTTTGTATGTATCTCATATTAAACTGTGTCAGATCTTCAAACAAGATCTAACATGAAACAAAGGCAATGCAAGTAAACAAAAAAATACAAGTTTTAAATAATAATTGTATGCATTAAAGCAAAACTACTAGTTAACATCAGCTGGGCCTGTATGAAAACACACCCTTAGTTACTGAACTTGCAGCTGGACAGGACACACTGAGGCCTGATCACCACCAAATTGTCCCATTTTCAGAAGCATTAAGTTGGCAAAACGTATCACCAGTTGCACAGTGTTTCTAATTCAAAGCAGCAGTGAGGAAGACAGTGATTGAAATCAACTCTGGGGAGGGTTACAAAGCTATTCTAAGGCTCTAAGACGCAACAGATCCACAGTCTTCTCGGAGAAAACGTGCAACAATAATAGTGAACCTCCCCAGAAGTGGTCGACCTTCCGAAGTTTCTTCAAGAGCACGGTTACAACTCATCCATGAAGGCCGTGGAAACTCATTAAAGAAAACGCAGCTCTCTCTCATCTCAGTTAGGCTCTATCCAAAAGACTGTGGGGCAAAAATGGCATTCATGGGAAAGTGGTGCAGCTAGAACCCAGAGAAACAATAAGAACCTTCTGACTTTTTCTACAACACACTTTGATAACCCTCAGACCTTTTGGGGGAATGTTTTATGTAGTGAGTAAAATGTTTGGAAGACAAGAGTCCCGTTATATCTTCTGTAAAACAAACAAAGACGTTGTGGTTTAGTCAAAGTCTGAACCCGAACCCCTAAGATGCAGTGGAGGGAACTTAAAGGAGCAGTTCATGCTCACAAATCTACAACATGGCTGCACTACAGCAGCTCCACACAAGAGAACGGTCTCAGGTATTGCTGGACTATTTTTTCACATTGGTGAGTTAGGCAACTTTAGAATAACGTCCCAATAACATATATAATCTATTAACTGATACTTAACAAGTCATTAGTAAGTAATTCACTGATGGCTTGTTCATGATCTATGACTGGTTTATAAGGTATGGCTGTAAATCATTAATATACAGTTAGCAAGTCATTTATAACTCACTAACTAACAGTTTGTAAATGGTTTATTAACTATCTATAAGGCATCGTTATAAATCATCAACAAACTATTAACAAGCACTTAACAAGTGGTTAACAACTCACTAATTAACAGTTTACAAATGATCTATTAACTAGTTATAACGGATAGTTATTAAGTGTTAAGTGTTACCCCTTTTTGCTTTAAAAAATACAATTATGATTAATATTAACTTGGGTTTTGTGTTTACCCACATTGTTTCTGTTTTATGTTAAATATAGTCTGAAGATCCGGCACAGTTTAGTGTGAGATAAAAACAAAAATAAAAGAATGCAGGAGGGGATTGTATGCTTTTCTCACAGCACTGCACTTGTCAAGCATCTAATATGATCACAGGGGCTGATCTGTAGGAGCAGGTATGAGCTGTTTGGAATATATACCAACTCACCATTTATTAAAGTATTGAATGCTGTGATATAACTTGTTGCAGCTCCGTCACTCCAACAGGCTGTTTATGAAGTTGAGCAGTAAATATTGTCATGCTGGAGAAAGGCACATTTTGGCCGTGCTTTCTTTTATTCTTTCCACGCATCTCTGCTGGTTTAATAACTGAATCCAAAAAGACACGAAGGCAAATCCCTGCAGCAGCTTTAATTGGCTACATTGGAATTTAGTACTCTGAACTATTTTAGTATTTTTTTTCATTTGAGGTCAAAAGAAAAGTAGGCTAATTGTCTGCGAATGTAAACAGGAAATCATGTGCACCACTGTGAGTGCTTATCACACATATATTAAAGACACATCAGTATTTGTGTGTGGACTAATGGGTAACACAAAAATGCACCACAAAACGCTGTGAGAAGGCTCGGATAGGACGTCTCTTTTTACTTGAGAGAACAGTTCATAAAAAAAATCTCATCAAAGTCTTGTGTTTGTGGAATAAAATGAATTTCAGCTACTACAATTTAATCAGTTCCTGCAAATAATGATATCAGTAAAAGTCTCCAAAGTCAGGATGACTTAACGGTGATGTCAGGATGGCAGGGGGCAAAGTCGAGCAGAGCTTCTGTATTGAATGTAGGCAACGTGCTCGGATAAGCGGCGGAGAAAGATGGCAATCTTTTAATCACTTTAATGTTAAAATATTCTCCACATTTTGTCAGGGTCAATCAGTTCTGTTAACTGGAGATACCTAGAAGCTATTATAAACTCAAACTTTACAACAAGTTTTTTTCTCTCAGGTCTCACACTTTGACTGTTGCTCTCATGTTGGTCAGTGATCTGTTCTGAAGAGCATAAAACAGTCGGCGTTAAGTCTCCTTGCTGCTCTGAATGCTTTTCTACAACCGATGGAGAAAAAAAATAATTCCTGCATCTCTTTTTATAAACTTAGATGGTCATACACGGGTTAAAAAATTCTAAAGTACAATGCTATTACCCCTGGCCACCGCGGGAGAATTCAAACTGCAACATGCCAAAAGAACCGTCTGACCTCCGACCGGAGCTGTTCACACACAGACACGCACACATTTCCAGTGACTTTGTGGTTACATGGCCGAGCAAAATCAAAGACAAGTTATTCCACTCGTGTTATCTGACCTCTCGCCCGACTATGAATGATTGAACAGAGTCACAGAACCATAGCAGGAACCCTGACTGTCTGACAGATAGAGAGAAACTTAGTGACTTTAGGACCTTTGGTGCAGGAATGTAGAAGTTAGAAGAAGGTTGTAAAAGGAATCCCTCTCTCTCTCTCTCTCTCTCTCTCTCTCTCTCTCTGCTGGTTTTATTATATATAATGCTATTTTGCCTCGGGCCCTTGAGAGTTAAAGTTGTGTTCTGCGTTTATCTCAGACATAAAAGCAGCATAATCATCGTGTCGTAGCGTTTTGGTGCGTGCATTAAAACAAACTTGCCTCCTCCAATGTGTTGCTGAGCTGAAAGATCTGTCCTTCTCCTTCTACCTGCCGTACGCACAGTTTGCAGCTGATCTCTGTGGTGGCGGCGCTCAGTCTCTCCAGGGTGAAGGTACAGTGGAGACTTCTCTGACTGCCGCTCCACACCTGGTAGAACGGGATCTCCTGTAGAGGCAGCACAAATGTTAAAATATGCATGTTGTCAGGCAGGTAACCTGATGGATTAAATACGGTCCAATCGTGACTATGATGCTGTCAAAACATGGATGACTGCACCACAAAAACTATGAAATTTGTTGCCAAGCTTAATATCTTAATCTTGTAAACACTTGAGGTGCTTAGTGAGTTTAGTTACTAGCTTTTAGTACTGATGAGAAGTGACTAATTGTGCAGGTATTTCACTCTGTTGTAGAGTTTAATGCACAAAACAGGAGTAACTACGGAAGCCGAGAGCGGTCGTTTTCCGCAACTGTTCTTTCTTCGCCGTTTTTTTAACGAGAAAATTAACTCGTTATCTCGGGATAACAAGAAATAAAAAAAGATAATTGGTGTTTGTGTTTGCCCAGGGACCTCCCACACACCTGGGATTCCATCCTCAGTCACCAGCGGGGGGCCGGAGGACAGACGAGACCGGGCACGAGCGCTTCATTGTAAGTTGTCGTGCCCGGTCAGCTGTTCTCATGACACGTCATGTCGGAGTTCCCGGTCAGCTGTCTATATAAGATACGTCACACCAGGAAGTCTGACAACTTCTGATGAAGGCTGAAGTGACAGCCGAAACTGTCAACGGGATAATTATCTCGTTATCTTGAGAAAATGCCGCTTAAAAAAATGTGCGGCCATGACCGCTCTCTGCTTCCGTAAGTAACACTGAGCCTTTCCTTTTGTCTTCATATGGATGAATATATGTTTGCTGCACTGTGCATACACGAAGAGTTGCAAAAACAGATAACTCACAAACCTTCAGAAAACCCACTTTTCCATCGTCTACCTGAGACAACATCAAACTTAACTTATCTCTATTTTTATCATTTCTACTGAGTCAAATCCACTCAGCTTCAGTTTGATTGATATTATCTCAAACAAACAACAAGTTTTCTGAAAATCTACAAAAATGGAGTTATCTGTTTTTGCAAATCAACTCTTCATACTCTATATGCGACCTTGTTAGATGTCTAAGTGTACGCGCACTCACCTGATATTTTGCGATGAGTTTGCTCTTCCAGTGTGTGTGTGGCACGTCGTGGATCGACAGTCTCAGATTATGTGTGCTGTCTTTAAAGTTCAGAGTCTTTGGCTCATCCAGAAGCTTCCCTCCCATCTGCGTCTCCATCTGAAGAACCTCCTGCACAAAAGCCCACATAAAGAAATAACTCCTTCAGATTTCCTCTGCAAGTTTGCTTCTGCTTAATCTCGCTCACTGAACCATTTACTTTTTATACATTGGAGATTGTAAGAAAGCCTTTTATTTATCTTGCGTAATTACAGCAGACAATGCACCATAAAACTCTTGGAACACATGAAAGTTTTCGCCGAGATAACATCGCACTTCTCCATAGTTGTATTCCCTGGATTTTAGCGACGCTTAGCTCTGCTGACTGCGCCGAAGTGAAAAGACGCATTAAGAAGCTCAATAGAAACCTTGATTAATGATGCGCCGCCAGTCGACGGAGTGCTGTTGTGAGATATAAAGAAAATTACGCATATCTTTAACACGAGACAGTAAAATAAATAACTTCTATTATTACTAAAAGATGACCTCAATGACTTATGGAAATAACACGGCGAAAATTGAAGTTATTTAATTTTTGTCCTTCTCTCTTTGCCAACAGTTTTAAAGGACACGGTTACTACCATCACACTGGATTCAAAGGTCATTTAATGCATTTATTGTAGGATTTTGTTGTAATTTAGTATCTTAGATTTCAGGAAATTGGAAAATGTCTGTTAAGGAAAGACAGCAGCACGTTTTACTCTGCCGTGCTGCGGTTGTTTCAATAATATATTGCGTACACAATTCTGTGGGGATTTTTGTTCATCCTTTTTAAAAATGATGCCTCTATATCAACTAGGCCCACATCAAGAGAGCGCTGAGAATGTGTGTGTACCGTACAAACCTTACAGCGAGCATAACCGTCGACGCACATGCTGATTACACGTCTAAATGTGCATTTGAATACACACAAGTGATCAGAACACACACAACACTCAGTTGTAGTAAGTCATCAGTATGGCTTCTGATGCCTCCTACAAGCTTTTCAAAATAATCAATTCCTCCTTCCCCTTCCACTTCATACGTGGCGGCACTACAGTGGATACACAGCGCAACACTTTCCCCTGTGAAACGCCGACCGATCAATTATACTACACAAAGTCTCCATCATTAAAAAACTCACCTCTGAACTTTGTTTTCAAGCTACAACTCGCGCGTCTGAGCCGGTCTAACTGAATGTGTGTTTGTTTGTGGGAGAGCGCGTGTGGCTGTGTGCCGCGCTGACACTTGACTTATCACTGCATGCATAAATTACCAATGTTAATCTCCTGTATCAGATGGTCCCTTCAGTGCTTTGAATTTGTTTAAATTCCAAAGCGTTGCTATTTTGACATTGCTTGACCCTGTTTTGTTTACTGATTCTCAGCTCATTGCCAGAAGACTAGAGGTGAAGAAACTTCTCTCTGTTTATGACTCCATTCGGCTCTTTCTGTTCAGGCTCCAGTGTATTTTATTTCAAATGCAAATCAACAGGGATGTGTTTTAGTATGGGTGGTCCAAGAGAGAAAACAAAATCCCTCACAGGACTGAAAAAATCACAGAAATTCGCTCAGGCTGAAACATCACACTCTCTCGCTGTTAGTTAAAGCGTTTGGAAAGCTGTGCAAACTGTAGATCCATCCATATAGTCCATGTCTTAGCATTTAGCATTTGTATTGGATTCAGGATTTATTTCTTTACTTCACCTTGAGTGCATCTTGAGTGTCATCCAGACAGTAGACCCTGATGTGATAGTCCAACGTCGTACAGGACACGGGCCCAAAAACAGCCAGTTTGAGCCTCTTGGCGGCTGCTTTGCCCATCGACTGACCCACCAGGCAGTAAGTCCCCAGAGTCTCTGTCAGAATGTGACACGCCTCCAGGTCCATCTGCACGTAGCAGGGGGTGGTGAAGTTCTCCTCTCCCACTACGACCACATCCTGTAGGAAACACACAGTTTATGTAGGCAGAGTGTCGTGCTGGGTCGCAGAGTACAGTTTACAATGAGCGGCTGAAACTAGCATTTTGTAAGAGTTCGCATTCTGTCGCTGCGATTCCCACGTGAGCCTCATCTCAACAGAAAACCCAGCTTTACTTAAGACAGACTGCTTTCAAACCCTAACTTGATGATAACGTGCAGCTGTCAAATAAACTCGAGTCATCCTCCATGTGTTTCCCAGGCATTCATCACCATATATTTTAAAATGCAGGGTTAAAAACAAACACTGTGCGTGACAACAGCAATTCCACTATAAAAACAGGGAAATTTAAATTATTCTGATTTTACAAAGTGACCCACAGTCCAGTTAATTTAGTTTTTTTTCCCCCTCTATTTGGGACCGGCCCTTATTTGTTCACACTATTGGTAAAACCTGGCTGTTATTTGAATATGGGCTTTATCTGAGCATTCGCGGGCATTAAGCCACAGTTTGTCTGTTAGCATAACACAACTGAACCTGCATTTGGAGCCATTTTCCCCCCGAATGCAAACAGCCCGTGAGTAAGCAAGGTTGTGGTTTATGCCAGATGTATTTCATTGCAATAAACATGTATTTTTCAGCGTTACTCACGTCCTCCGCGAGCTACACAGAATTATATTCAAGCAAAAAAGCCCAACGGTAAATGTTGACTTTTTTTTGCTTGTGGCGCATTTTTAATAAAACAATAAACAGCGTGAATCTCCTCCAGGCGGTCTGCTAATTCATTTCAGAAAGCCATTTACAGGACGTTTGATTCAACAGATTGCGAATATATTTATGTTCCAACACCGAGCCGAAACGTAAATGCATGTCTGGTTGTACATATGACATCTGAAAGTAAATCAAGGTGTTCATTAGGGGAATGATGACACTTGTTCCGAGCTGTTGTCTGTGAAGTGTGTCCAATCCCACTATGATTATCTGCTGGCTGTTGCTCATGTCATCTCTACAGCTCTCTGTCACAGCCTGACTTATGGTAAATCCATACGGCTCTTTGGATCGAGGGAGGGGGGGGATGCACAGGCTCGCTGCGATCTTTTCATACGACTACTGAATCTTCAATTAGTCGTGCAGATATCCATGTTTGCGCGCGCGTGACTTTGTGGATGACAACGTACTGCAGAATGGATATGTTCTCCACGCACATGTGTGATACAAATATTGAGTTTCGAATCGCAGTTCATGCGGAGTTGTGTTGCTACAGATGAGCTGAATCAATACAAAGAGGTAGGAAAGCAATATGGTATGAATCTGTTATTACTGGTAATCACAACCGTGGCTGCTCCCCCCTGATATGAGGGGAATTCAATTACCTTTCCTCTCCCTGTTTTGGGGAAAACTTTCTGATGGGAAATGGATGTTCTACTGCAATAAGAGAAAAACAAATCGACTTCCTGATGAAATTCCACTTTTCATTTTTCTCGTCTTTACCCACTCTGCATCTCTTTCTCTCTCTCCGTCTCTCACTCACACACACACACACACACACACAAAGACCCACACAGAATCTTATGCATGGCTAATTGTGCAGAGACATTGTGTTGAGCTGTGATAAGCAACAGAAGACAGCATACGGGGGCCTTGTAGACACAGTGATGCTGCAAGACAGCCTTATCACCCACACCCACACACAAGGGTGCACACATGCACGCACAAACACACACACGCAAGCGCGGCCGTACGCGCGCACGCACGCACGCACGCACGCACGCACGCACGCACACACACACACACGCAAAACAGATTGCTGAGGTAGAGACTTCACGCTGAGAAACACAGGAGGAGGGAGAAAGAGAAGGGAAGGAGAGAAAAAAGGAGGGATGGAAACATAAGAAGAAAGATGAGAGAAGAGGAGGATGGCAGGAGCATAACAAATTGCTTCTGATAGGAGTCTTCAACCCCCTGCTTGTCTACTAGCCTGTAGGCACTTTCTGTTTACCAAATTTTCTCTCCTTTTCTTTCTTTTCCCCTCCCTCCTTCCCCGCATACACAGTGTGAATGTGCAATTCAGGCTAGCCTCCGCTATGTGTGCATGTAATCTCAGTGTGTACTGTATACATGACTGCGGAGTAATCATTCGGCTACGACTGCGTGCAAGTGTGTCATTATTTTGTGTACTTATTCACACACTTCTTTATCTTTGGATTATTTAGCCGCAATGTGTACATGTTTGTGTATCTAGCTGTATGTTAAATTCATATTTGTCTCTATTTGTTGGCAACAAGGTGACAGCTATTCTCTCTGGGGGGGAGAATACAGGAATTCCAAAGCTGTATATTAAAACTCTGTAAAAGCAATATATGCATTACACACACAGACAGACGCTGAATGCTCACCTCCCATTCTCCCATGGCCAGTTGGTTCTTTAGCTGTATGAGCCAGTCCTCCTGCACATTGTCAGCGCAGTGGTGGATGGTGAGGATCACCGGTCTTGTCAGCAGGGCTCCAGGAGGTCCACAGCTCACTACTGGGCTCAGCACTGTCTGGATGTCCTCTACCGGGGGTCTGAGAAGACAGATAAGGCCGAGGTGAAATGATGGAAAAGACTGACAGTGACAGGATGCTCTGTTGGATTCCAGATAGCGAGAGTTTCGGCTGCAGACAGCTCTATTGGAGCCACTTCTGCTGTGTGTGTGTGTGTGTGTGTGTGTGTGTTAGGATTGTCACACTCTTCATACAACAGCCCAAAAAGTATTTGGACAGTTAAATTATCAGCAAACTGACACGAGGAAACTGGAAGCTTTTCTAGCTGAAACACTGAATAAACTTTCATCACAGCTTTTACAGAAACTGGTTGACACCAAGCGAAAGGAAGGTAAACAAAATACGACTAAAACACCGCGTTTTTGTTTTTAATCTTGAGTAAAGCCACTTGGAGATGTGTCACTACTTTTTGTCTTCATTTTAAACTGTATATGTATGTGATTTTTAGGGTCCGAGNTGGAGCTATGCCATTGGCTGATTGGCAAGCCATGTGACATGTGTATTCAAATGCAAGAGAGAGTGCAGGGAAAACCATCACCAGAGTTACCCCTGGTTACACCTGCTCATGGGTCTGATCCGGTCCAGCTACCGGACCGCCCCGGATGTTCTTGATCAAGTGTGACTTTGGACATTTTGACAGTTCAACATCACAGTTTTAAACATAACTTATTGCATATATTGATTTTTGTTTTTTTAAAGTAATGTCTTTAAGATGATGTTTCAAAACTCAACTAATTCAAACTAATGTATTCATTCTGAGTCACTTTTATTAAACAGCATGTGGTCTTCAAATTACTCACAAATACAACATTTTCCCATTTAAGTCCTGTCTGGGTTTCACTTTCAGCTGGTGAGAAAATAAAGTGCACAAATGATGTGGGAACATTTGCGGCGTCTTGTCTGCTGCACCTCAGGGCTCTCAGGCACCTCCACCATGTTCAGGAGACCTGCCACCATCGTCTTTCGTTGTTGAACTTCTTTGCTGCATTCACTGAGGAAATATCGAGGGATGGGGATCTCCAGCTCGGCCTACAGAGAAAACAAAGAAGTCTGTGTCTTTAAAAAGTCACTGTCTGATTGTGATTGTGATTCTGAGGTGGACGTCAGTGTGGCGTCATGTCGATGTGACGGATGAACCTTACAGGAGTGAGCTTCAGGTCGTAGAGGACGCCATCCATGTCGTGGTACTCTGAAAACTCCTTTTCCACTATCTCATTCTTCAGCTCCAACACTCTCCCCATCACACCGTCCAGGATGCGCCGGATGAGCCGCCTCTTCTGAGGATGGACCATCAGGTCGTAGGCCTCCTGCAGCTGCCGGAGGGTTCTGACGTAGCGTACGTAGAGCGTGGCCAGACGCTGGAAGAACACAACGCGGTACTTCTCTGGACGAAGAGGCTCAGCAGGAAGCTCCTCGGCCAGCAGGCGGCTCAGCTCCAGCTGAGCATCTGCCCACAGCTGGTTGTACATCCTGTAACAGGAAAGTTGGATCGCTGCCCTGTGAGTTCATGCAGGTCACAGCTTCAGCGTAGAATAATCAGGCTTCGTGGCATTTATACATGTATTTAATAAAACCATTAAAGAGGAATGTAATGGACAAAACTCAGCTTTTCTTGTTAACTTACTGCAAATACAACACGTTGTTCATTTCAAGCCACTTCAACCAAACATACGCAGTTTATTCCATCTTCAGATCATTCCAGCGCCGACGACAGAAACTCTAGAACCATGGAAACGCTGCAACGGTTTCATGTTGGTTGTAAAAAGTCACACTCTGTAAATCCACCAGGTTCTTTGAAAAACAGACAAGAATGAAAGAAAACTATAAATGGAAGGAATCAGAGGTCTAGAAATTGGTCCTAAAAGCCTAAAAGCAGCTGCGGCCACGAGAGCTGTGATGCTTTACTAAAGCCAAGCATGAATCCTGGCGGCTTCGCTACAGGACGACGGAAGCAGCCTCTTCTCCACATTCCTGTTAAACCAGGACATGAAGCAGCCTCTTCTCCACATTCCTGTTAAACAACAGCCTCGGCTTTGCTTTCACGGCTTCAACAGCCGATTGTGTTTCATGTCAAACAAAGAAAATGAGTCTGAGTGCCCCCCGTGGATGTGGGTGCCCTCCGTGGATGTGGGCGCCCCCCCATGGATGTGGGCGCCCTGAGCATGTGTCTAGACTGCCAATGTCCAGGGCTGGCTCTGCGGTACCGTCTCTACCCGTCCGAGCCTTTAAACGGACTTTCATTGGATCACTCTACCGTTTCCAGGTCTGCCTCCGGTTGGTGTCGACGCACAATAACAATAAAAAGGACTTAAACTCACCTCTGCGACATTTTCTGAGTTTCCTGAAGCTTCAACCGAACTAAGACGGAGCATTGAGGCCTCCTGCAGTTTACACGCTGTCTCCATGGCAACAGTCAACGGGACTGTTGCCATGGAGACAGTCTGCCCTTCAGTTCATAAAGTTAGGTTCGGTCCAAATGAAACCTTCTGGTGAACAGAAAACAAGCAGCTTTTTATTTCCCATGATTCAGCTGCAGAAACAACAACAGCAGCCTGACCTTGTTTCTTCACTTCCAGACGTTTCTTGGTCATTTCAGCTGAAACGTGTTCTTCTGCTCAGAGCGGCTGAAAAGCTTCACATCAGGAACACAGCAGCTGAGTGACCAGCAGGGGGCGCCTCCTGACTCCTGACAGCCATGATAATGAAGAGCTTATGTTCAGTCTGTTAGAACCTGCTGCAGTTGGTCCGGTGAGGACACCCGGGATCTTCCTGCGTGGAGTCTCCATGTTCTCCCCGTGCAGCGTGGGTTCTCTCCGGGTTCTCCGGCTTCCTCCCACAGTCCAGAAACATGCTGAGGTTAATTGGTGATTGTAAATTGTCCGTAGGTGTGAATGTGAGTGTGCTTGGTTGTCTGTCTCTAAGTGTAGCCCTGTGATAGACTGGTTACCTGTCCAGGTGAACCTGACTTCACCCTGAGTCAGCTGGGATAGGCTCCGCCCCCCATGACCCTGGTGAGGATTAAGGTGTGGAGATGATGGATGGATAATATTAAGCTTCACCTTTTCCAGATTCAGTAAATATGAAACAGTTCATCGTTACATATCTGGAGGAAAAGGAGTTTCAACAAGTATCAGCTCTGGCCCACGACTTCGTCTCAGTTTTTAAATTTTAGCCCACTGTGAATTTGAGTTTGACACCGATCCTCTAATCCTGACCTCCTCCCCCCACATGTTGTCTGTTCCTCCCCTTCATATGTTTTGTCCTGCATCTGTCTCTCCTCCTTTTCTTGACCTTTTTCTTGTGGTACTTCATATCTCATTAGGACATATGTGGCAGGATTTAAACAGCCCCTGTGCCTACACATACCTACCAGCCCGTAGGAGTGTTGGGTCGGTCCTAACCCTGCCAGAGATTTGGCCACTGTCTGGGTTTTTGACTCAAGAGTTTGTCTGAGAGTAAAATCAAAGCCAAAACCTGAACTTGACTTCAACAACAAACACAGCAGCAACACATATGTTTCAACAGTTTAATTTTTCAAACACGCCATGACCCACAGACAATGAAACGTCAGAACACAAAGCTCACTTCAACACAGACACCGTCCACTTAGAAGTCTGGACACAAAGAAACATCCAATCAGAACATCAGGACACAAGATTTGTCCAATCACAGCTCGCTATGCTGACAGGTTGACAGGAGAGGAGCGGGACTTACATCACATCAGTGTTTGCTGACAGCAGCATCCTGTTAACCAATAAGACCATATGAAACACACACTGGACATGAAGGGGAATCAGGTGATAGGGTTCACACTGAACAGGTGGTGGGGGTGTGACAGAACCAATCAGATCATCCGCTGGGGACCATCAGTAAAGTGGTGTTCGCAGCTATTTCAAGTTCCTGCAATGACAGTTTTATTTCTGTGATAGAAAGCTACAAGAAGTCAGCAACTGCTCTGCATTTGCAATTCACGAACAGACAGCCAATTACAGAACTCTGTTTTCCAGGTGAAAAGCTGAGGCTCATGGGTACTGTAGTATTTAGTATCTGAACATAAATGTGAGCGGTGGTTTAATTATCAGCAGAATGAATCTGATTTCTCTGTCACATGACTGTCACAAGGCTTCAGTGCCACTCAGCTGTGGTTCTGTCCAGACTCCCACTGACATGAGCGTAGCCTGACAGCATTACACTGTATGCTCTCTGATCTGATTGGAGCATTCTAGGAGGATTTCAAAAGCGCTTCATTTTCTTTGTCAGCTAAATATGGCTGTATTTTGAACAGGAACATTTCATATTTTAGTGTGATCAAATGTACTACAGAAAATGGAGTTAGTCTGGATTTAGAAGTTTCAAACCAAAACAAATGAAAAGAGAAGCGAGTGTCTTCATGTAGACACACACAGCAGGTCTGGACTCTACTGAGGTATCAGGTACCATCTACAGCGTACCTGGTTCCTGTTCTGACCCATTTAGCACTGCTGACTAGGGGATCAACGTAAGGTTGCAGAGACCCATACATCAAGATGTGCTGCTACCTGATGACCAACTGAACACTGCTGACTTCATTCTGAATAGTCTCAGTGTTGTGGTTCATTAACATGCCATCTCTTTGTCATATTCCTGCTTTACATGTGTTGACTTTCCCTGATCTGCTTCATGATGACCTTGTAGCTATTAGTTTTAATCTGGTTTGCCCAGTTTTATTTATTTTAATTTCTCATGTGCATCAGTCTCACATTGTAAAGCACCAACCTGTAGGGAAGGTTGATTGGTTGGCCTGGCCACACCACAGAGACTGTCAGACACAACAGATACCTTTTTCGTGCTCTGGGTATTGTTTTAGTCCAGTTCAATCCAATTTTTCTTGGCTCAGTTCTTTAAATATCAGAGTAAGCTAAGCTAGTAAGCTAGCTTTGACCTAGTGCAGCAGGTCCACATAGCTTCGGTTCACCACGGAAAATACTTTGACGGTGCTGGTCCTTGTCCTTTCCTGAAAATCCATAAAACAAACAAATACAAAGTCCAGTACCAGTAGAACCACTGAGATGCAAGGATCCCAGTCTGATGGTTCTAGTTCCACTCCAGTTTCTCTCACTGAACCAGGAGAGCCTGAAACCAGGTTTCATTGATGAAAGCCATTGTATGATCAGCTCAGTGTGGAGGGACAGAACGTTCTAGAAGGTTTTTTGAAAGTTCCTTAAGGTTTTGGAAGGTCCTGGATGAGTTCTACAAGGGTTCTAGATGGTTCTGTAGGATTCAGTTCTCAGAACAGAATTGTTCTCATCTCATCTTCCTAAGTCTGGTTCTATTCTCTTTGTCTCTTTTCTTTAAGGATGTAATGTAATGGTTGAAGAGAACTTCCTGCTCCTTCTTCCTGTTGAGGGTGTTGAAACGCTGGTCACCATGGTAACGAGCACAGAACTCCTTAAAAGCTGATCTGCAGAGAAAAACGTGAGTATTAGTGGTTTGTCCTCAGTACCGAAGGTTTAAACATCACAGATGATTGAACACTCTGAAGTCTGCTCATCTCTAATCATGAATGATGTGCTGAATACAAAACACTAAACTACACTGTAGTTTACGCATGCGGCTGTAGCTCAGGTGGTAGAGCGGCTGTCCTCTGATCACAAGCTTGGCGGCTCCATCCTCCGCCCCTCCACAGTCCAGGTGTCCTTGGGTTAAGGTTAGACACGTTGCATGGCAGCTCTGTCGCCATGGGTGTGTGAATGGGTGAATGAGGAAACACTGTAAAGCGCTTTGAGCAGCACCAAGCTAGAAAAGCGCTGCAAGTGCCAGAAATTATGCTGGTATGTCTTTAGGTTCTAAAACAAAAATTAAATGATCAAAGTTTGACTAAATCTTAAATACATGTTGTTCTACAACTAAACTCTGATGCCAACACTTGCAGCTGCTGGTCAGCAGGTCAGACAGTCTGGTTGTAATGAAGGTGTGAACTAAGTGGACACTCACTCATCACTAAACAGATTTTCACTCAAACTAGTACTCCTGTAGAGATTAGTTAGCTAATATTTACACCAACCAGGAGCTGACTGCTCCTGATGAGTCCTGAGCATCGCATTTAGGAATGGTGACGTTACAAAAGAGGAGAGAATACTAAAATGAATGGACCAGCCTTTGGAAACATTAAACTTGAATTAATTTACATCCTGCAATGTTAAAATATACACAAACAATAACAATGTTACAGCAGGAAAGTATCCTTTAAAAAAGAAAGAAAGCTTGAACTAGCTTAGCATGGTGTCTTCATATTGCTCATATGTGACCATCTGCACAGAAATTATTTGTCAGAAGAGTTTCAATCAGGTTTTAGAAGCATCATAGCACAGAGACAGCACCGGTGAAGGTCACTGATGATCTTCTTGTAGCTTCAGACAGTGGACCAGTTTCTGTACTGGTTCTGCTGGATCTCAGTGCTGCATCTGATCCAGTGGATCACAGCATCTGA